CTGTCCTGCTGCAGGGGGTTATTCTTCAGTCAGGTCCCTGCCTTTGCCCTGGTTGCACTCCATGAGCTTCCTAGAAGATCAGCACTCAGAGGGGCACCAGTTGAGTCCAGACCATCCCTTCCCCATCTCACTGCACCTTTAGACCCGAGTGCAGGCTTTAGCATGTGTGTTGACCTACTCTGGAGCCTTCAAAAACAACTCAGGCTGCTGTTAATCCTGGCTGTTTATCCTGATAGCAGCAGTGCAGTCTGGTGACAGCCAGACTCCAGTCATCTGGGAGCTGAAGCTTTGTGGCCTCCTTCCAGCCACGTTTTCACAGGGCAGTTGCCAGCGTGTGTGGCTGGGCGGGCACTGCCCTTTTAGCACCAGCAGATAAAAACCAGTGCAGTGGTGAGAACAGGAGGCAGGGAAGGGTCAGGTGAGCTCCCTGGGCCTGTGGCTGCAGCACATCTTATCCTGTGACCTGGAATGTTCCAGTGCGTGGCTGCCCCCGGGTCACTGGGTGTCTCGGGGGTGAGATTTGGGAGTTACTGGTGCAGGGTGCTGGCTCCTGGCCAGGGAAGCTTTTACTTAGGTTTCCAGTGGGGTATAAGTGATGTGCTCAGTGATTTCTCTGTCTTCCTTGAGAGTTTTCCTGCTCTGAAGTGTAATCAAGCTTCTCCCTAAATTGCTTTGTCATGGTGGAACCAGAATGCAGAAATCCAGCGTGTCTTTTTATCCCTTTTCTTTGCTGAGGACAGCTCTGACTTTTATCTGGGCCTGTTTGTTTAACTTGGAGGTTGTTTGTTTCTCTTTCATGTTCCCTCCTTCCCAGTCTGTTTGTTGACACTTAGTGAAGAGTTTTGCTGCACATCCAAGGACTGAGCAAAGCGAGTTCCTGAGTGCTTGCATCAAGGTTCATGAGTGCTCTGATCACCCTCCTCAACTCTTTTGGTTCAAAACAGTGTTGTTGGTGTTTGAATGCTGGAGCCACTGCTCAGCCAGAGTCCCTGTCCCTGCTGATGATGCAGCAGCACAGCTCAACACACCACACATAACCCCTTTCCCAAATTCTGTGTGGCACCCAGGGCAGGGACACAGGTAACACCTGCCCTGGAGGAGTGCTGGAGGACACGACGTGGGTGCTGAACCCGTTCTCCCTGGTGGGAGGGTCCCTCTGCCTGAGCAGAGAGCTGCAGTCCTGATGAGAATCTTTCCCTCTTCTTTGCTGCAGTTTTTCTCCAGACCTCGCCCTGGACTCTCCTGGCACTGACCACTTTGTTATCATTGCCCAGCTGAAGGAGGAAGTGGCTACTTTAAAAAAGATGCTGCACCAGAAAGATCAGATGATTTTGGAGAAGGAGAAGAAGGTACAGCCCTTGGCTTGCTTCCCCCCACAGCACACTGACACGTTCACACAGGTCACCCTCCAGCAGAGCCTGGCTTTTAAGACTGGAGTGAGCAACAGAGAGTTTCTGGCTCTTTCCAAGCTCCTCCTTTCCAAAGTTAGAGGCTTTTTGGAGCCACCCAGGAGATCTCATTTCATAAGGAGGCGTTTTCTGACCACTGTCTCAGAGACCTCCATGTAGGGGCAAGACTGAGAGCAAACATGCTGCTCCTTGCAGGATGGTTCCTGGCCGCTCCCACTTCTCTGTGCAGCTCCAGGATGTGGTTCTGGTCTCACTGCTCTTCCCCAGCCCACCCCAGCACGTTTCTGAACTTGCCCCATCTCCCACAGTTTCTGCAGAGGCGTTTTCCCTGGCGCCTGGGGTGAAGGCAATCATTTCTTCTTCCAGCTCACTTGCTGCTCCCTGGTTTCCCTGCAGATCACAGAGCTGAAAGCTGACCTCCAGTACCAGGAATCTCAGATGAGGGCAAAGATGAACCAAATGGAGAAGACACACAAGGAGGTCATGGAGCAATTACAGGTGACAGCATTTTTGGTTTCATTTGCTGAGCTGTGCTGTATCCAGGAGTGACTGAGGACACCCTTGATGACAACACCCTGTGAGCTTCTGCACACAGAGCTCTGCTAGCTTCCTACAGCCTCTGCTCTGCACCAGGCTGCAGGGAGTTGGAACCTCTATTTATATCCCCCTTGCTGCTCTCTACTTGCTCTCAGGCTTACTGGATTGTAACGTGCTGCATTGTGTCCCCTATGGACTAAAGGGGGACCATCAAACTCCTTTTACTTATTGCCAAAATCAGGTTGGAACCTGTTTCTCCAGCCTGCAGAACCTTTGTCAGCTCCCTGCACCACGTAGCTCTTTGTGGGATTTATGTGGCCAGAGAGAACAAAGCTCAGGAAACAATCAATCATTCCTTTAGAGCACTGTCTCTGGAGTCCAAATGGAGAAGTCCCTGAGGTGGAGGGAACAGGGAGAGCAGGATTCTTGCCATGGCCATGGCAGAGTATTGGTGTGAGCAGTCTGAGCCACCAGAGATGAGGGCAGAGAGCAGAGGAGCTGCTTAGGGTGGAGGAATCAGACACAGAGGTGAACTTTGCACCCCGAGTTATTCTGGGCTGTATAAGGATTGAAGGCCTGAGCGATGAGAACTGGGAGGGGAGAAGACAAAAGGGTTTTATTGCCCTGAGAAAACAGCCCCTCCTCTCTCAGCACACACCCCAGTTAATGATCAGGCTGGGTTTGGGGCTGGCAGGGAGCTGGGGCCTGTGAGCAGCCCTGCCCAGGGCACGTTCTGGAGCTCTGCAAAGCTGCCTGAAGGCCAGAACATCTGTGGGTGCTGTGCTGAGGGCTGGATGTGCTCCCTGCTCCTCCCAACTGGGGAGCCACTGGTGGTTTGTGCTGGAGGGGCTGGTGACAGCCAGAGCCCTCTGTCCCTGCTGTGTCTTGTGGGTGCTGCACTGCCTGGCTCAGCCCAGAGCTGTTTCTGTCTCACAGCCTTGGGTGGGGTTGGTGCTACTACAACAGTTCCACAATGTCCACTCTGGAAACATGTGCTGGCAGCCCAGGAGCCCCCAGCAGTGTGGGCAGCAGGGCAGGGAGGGGATCCTGCCCCTCTGCCAGCTCTGTGAGACCCCCCTGCAGTGCTGGGGCAGCTCTGGAGTCCTCAGCACAGCAGAGCCAGGGACCTGCTGGAGCGGGGCCAGAGGAGCCCCAGCAATGCCCCGAGGGGGGAACCCCTCTGCTGGGAGCCCAGCAGGAGAGAGTTGGGCTGGGGCAGCTGAGAGGAGAAGGCTCCAGCTGGGGAGACCTAGTCCCTAGCTCCTAGTGGGGATGTGGGGTCAGCAGAGAGCTAAATTCTGGTAAAATGTCAGTGGCATGTGAAGAAACCAGGGGTGAAGCAAAGCTGGAGAGCAGGAGCTGCTCCACACAGGTCTGTTTGACAGAAGAGAGTTTGGGGTAGGGGAAATTGGCCTTGACCTGCTCCAAGGAGAGCCAGGCTGGGGCCTCGAGTCGCCGGGGTGTCCCTGCACAGAGCACGGCGGGCGGTGGGAGGGGAGGAGGAGGTGTTCCTGCCGCCTCGGGGCGCGGCCTCGGCCGGGGGTTGTGCCTCGTCGCTTCCCCCAGCAGGAGCCGTTCACTCCCAGCTCTTCCCAGTCCCAGCGGGGTCCTGGCCCCCAGGAGCTGGTGCTGCCCGTGCCACTGACTGCCCCTTTTCACTGTTTCCAGGCCAAGAACAGAGAGCTCCTGAAGCAAGCAGCTGCCCTGTCCAAGGGCAAGAAGCCGGAGAAGCCGGGAGCAATAACCTCCCCTTAGCCCCAAAGCCCCAGTCTGTCTGGGAGCTTGCCCCAGTCTGTCTGGGAGCTTGCCCCAGCGTTGGCCAAGGAGTCAGGGAGACCTCTGGGACCTCTGGCAGCCCGGAGCCTCCGTGTTGTCACCACCCTGCTGCCGTGGACTGGGTGGAAACTCCTTCCCACAGCGTGCCCCAGCGTGGCTCGTTTCCATCTCCTGAATCCTGGTTATCCACCAGCAGAGCTCCCAGCCATCCTAAACCCACCCCTCTGCCAGAGTCCTGCTTGCTGGAAGAAAAGCAGGGTTTTTTTTTTATCCCAAACAGTTCCTCCCACTGCCAACCATTTCCAGCAGCAGACAGGAACCTGCTGCGTTACAGACTTCTTGGTTCCCAACGTGCTGCTGGGAGGCCAGAGCCATGGCCAGTTGTTGTGCAGATAAGATGGGAGCTGCGTGGGGTGGGAGCTCAAGGGCTTTTTTTGTTCCTTGAGCTGTTCCCTCTTCAAAAGGAAGCTGATAAATCACCAGCCCAACAGATGTTACTGGTAGGTTGTGCTGCTGCTGAGAACTCTTGATCCAGCTTTTTGAAGATGCTTCCAAACTGGGGGCTATGTATTTATCTTGGAAGTTTTTTAGGTTTGGTTTTTTTTTTCCCCCCCTCGTCCTTTCTATGTCAGCTTGGCAAACTGAACTGCCTGGTTTTGTGTTTTCTTGTTTTAGAATAGCTTTTGGGTTGGGAGCCAGAAGGTAACCATGCAGACCCAACCCCCCCCTCCCCTATCCCCCCTTCCCGTGCCCTGGTTACTTGGTGACCTGTGGGGCTTTGATGAATTCTGCAGCTTGGTGTGATCAAGCATCTCTTACTCTGTTTTTTCACACGAGGAGAGCTCAAGGTGTGGCTGTTCCCTCTGCTCCCCTCACTCCCTGGACCCAGCTCCCCCTCTGCTCCCCCTTTCCCTTCCCCATCGCTCCCTTCCAGATGCAGCAGCAGGGGCCAGGTTGGCTCCAGCAAAGCGCTTACTCAGGCAGCCACCCAAGCCAGGGAGTGTTTTTTGGGGCTCTCCAAGGGCCGTTTCTCACTGCTGATTAAAAACCAGCAGAATAAAAGGGCTATGAAAGTTCCCTGTAACAGGGACGTGCTGCTCGGACCCAGCACTGAGGCTGCAGAGCCTTCCAGCCAGGCCAGCTGGGCTGGGTGCTCCCCAGGCTCAGCCTCAAGGCTCTGAGAAAAGCACTTGGGTGCTGTGATGGGTGAGTGAAGCACAGCACAGCTCTGGGCTGGCAGGAGCAGCTCAGCACCCTGACATCCAGCACCCAGCTCCCCAACATCCAGCCCCCTGCCATCCAGCCCCCAGCTCCTCGATATCCCTGCACCCAGCTTCCCAGTGTCCAGCTCCCTGGTATCCCCACACCCAGCTCCTTGACATCCCCACACCCAGCTCCCTGACACCTTGCACCCAGCTCCCCAGCACCCAGCGCCTCAACAACCCCCCCCCCAGCTCCTCGATATCCCCACACCCAGCTCCCTGCCATCCCTGCACCCAGATCCTCACCATCCCTACACCCAGCTCCCCAACACCCTGAACCCAGCTCCCAGCTCCCCAACATCCCCCTGCCCAGCCCCCCAGCCCCCAGCTCCTCAGCATCCTGCACCCAGCACCCCGACATCCTGCACCCAGCCCCCTTCAGGGGCCAAAGAACCATCTCAGGGCTCCAACCCTGGGGCCAGAGGAGCGAGGGATGAAGGTGGGGGATGAAGGTGAAGGTAGGTAGTGAGGAGAAACCACCCTTTCCAGGCAGGGCTGGCTGCTCTGTCAGGGCTTTATTAAGATTTTTAACTAGAGATGATGATTTTTTGGGGGTTGTTTTTCATCCTTTTTTTTTTTGGTTTGTACTACAAATGACTTTACTCAAAGGCACTTTTAGCTGATGTTGGAAGGCACACGCTGCAGCATCAGACACTGCCAGGTGGGGTGTTTTTTTTTGTTCTTTTGGTTATTTTAAGAGACTTCTGATGTGAAAAAGACAAAAAAAAAAAAAAACAACAAAGTTGTTACTCTGCTTTGCCAGAGTGTGACAGCAGGAAAATGCTCACCCAGTTTTATACTTCACACGTTTTTAGAAAATGAGGTGCATTGGTGGGAGTTTTTTTTTAAAATGAGGGCTTTGTTTTTTTCACTTCCCTCAAAACCCAGAAATAAAGAGAGGGAGGAAGGTCCCTCTCCCTGCTGTTCTGGGGTTGGTTTTTAATTGTGCTAAACTGATCATGCAGTGGAGTAGCTGATGATTTGTAGGAATAACATCGTTTCTTTGTATGTTTGTAATAATGGAGATTTTCAAAGGGACTCTTGGATTTGTACAAAACTCTGACAACTGTAAAAACGTTTTAAAAAAACCCTGGGCTGTGTCTCGACACTTTCTATTTGCCTTTAAAACAAAAAAAACAAACTTTAAATCCAGAAAGAAGCCAAAGGCCCTTTCCCTGCCTGGGCTTGGTTCATCTCCTGGGTGTGGATGGAAGGAGCTGATGCTTTTCTATTGTTTGGTCCTCTCCTGCTTTTGTTTCTATTTTAAATCCTCCCCCTCGAGCCTGTTGCTAGGATCCACGTTACTTGGTTACATCCAGCTTCCCAGGACCCATCCAGCTGCATCCCACGAGATCCAGGAAGGCAGAGCACAGAAACAACATGGAATGGGTGAGGAAAAAAGGCCAGAGGATGAGCAGCTGCATTTCTGTGTCTCTGAAACCCTCCCTTGCTCTCAGCCGTGAGTCTGGAGGAAAAGCTCTTGGTTTTCTTTTATAAAAGCTAATTTTTCCAGTAGAAATTTGGCCGTGGAAAATTCTCTGGAGGTTTCCACCTGGAACCCTTGCTGGTTCCTGAGCAGCACCAGGACACGCCGGGAGTTCTTCGCTCAGGAGCTGCTGTGTCCTTGGGTGGCTGTTCCCAGAGCCAGGCCAGAGCTGCAGGGTGGGAAAAGGCAAAACCTCCACAGCTATTCCAGCTCAAAATGACCTCACCGGGTTCTATTTTTCAAAGCCTGGAGCTGCACACACTAAAGAGCCTCTTCTCTGGGAATCATTCATTGTGACAAATGCCCAAATTCAGTTAAATGCAAGGAAGAAAAATAGTTTCTATGAAATCTTCCTCATCAGTGTTTCTCTTCCAATCTCTTTTTCTTCCAAGAAGCAGCCTGGAGAAGAGAAGGCTCTGGGAAGACCTTGAGACCTTTCTGCCCAGGGCAGTGGTGGAGTCCCCACCCCTGGAGGGGTTTCCAAGCTGTGGAGATGTGGTGTGAGGGACACGGGGCAGTGGGGACCTGGCAGGGCTGGGGGATGGTTGGACTCCAGGATCTGAAAGGTCCCTTCCAACCCAAACGACTCTGGGATTCTGTGGCCCTGGCAGAAGCTGCTGGAGGTACCCAGGGTGCCCAACCAGCACTGTGCTCAGCGTGTCCTCCACACCAGGGAACTCACCTGGGGGCTTGAGCAGCTCCTCAGCCCTCCTCCTTCAGCCCATTTGCAGCTGAAGGTGCCCAACTCCCAAACCTGCAGCCTGCCAGGCTGGCCCCGGGCCAGTGGTGAGCTTGGCAACCTCCTTCCCTGGCTGCCCGAGCGTGCCAGGGGTGCCCAGCATGCCAGGGGTGCCTTATCTCTGCTGAGCACAGCACAAACCTGCCCTGGAAGGTGCCCAGCTCCTGGTCACAGGTGGGGGGTGAGGGCTGAGCTGCCGGAGGCTGGGCAGAGCTGGAGC